TGTGACGTTAAATGCGGGGGGGGGCCTTTATGGGACTACACCGTATTCAGGATCGGGGAGTTTGTCTTTAATACCGGTCTAATAGTCTTTGTCTTTGGTAGCGTGCTTATCTAATAAGTCTCCTCCCTCTCAGCTCGTCCGCTGTCACGGGGTGGGGATCGTTTGGTGAATGTATATCACCACAACTGAGACTGTGCAGAGAAAGAAATATACCAGTAACGATTATAACAAATCAACACAACACAATATATACGGTTTCCTGTACTTTAATAAACAATAACAGGGATGCTGGTCACTGGAACCAGCAAGGAGGGGGATACACTGTAAAATAAAATAAATTAGAGACTTGATCGATGCTGCAGGGAACACTCCACTCTCCATTGGACAGCAGTGTGCAATGTTGCGTTCCTTCGTATCTGGCACACTGGCGAAGCAGCTGCACTACAATTTAAACTCGTGCTCTGTGTCCAGTATCGGCAACTGCACTGCTATCTGCTGCTACTGGTAGCACTGGTACAACGGGAGTAGTTCAGGCAGTGAGCTTCAGTGGTTCCTGTTGATCAGCAGGGATTACTGCACAGCACGTCTGCATATGTACCCCTGTATAGGGTACAGCTCACTGGAGTCAGGAATCAGCATCACAAGATGTTACAGGATCAAGTCAGGTCACCTTCCTGACTAAAGATTTTCCCTTATGTCTCAACTTAAATACCATAGCTAATTTATGGCCATGCAAATAATAAAATGTATATAACGAAATGATTGGTTATCTCGAAATAGCCGACAAATCAGTGTACAGAGGATGCCAATTTTGGTAGTGGAATAAACCACACTTAATCCAAGCTCTACCAATTTAAAGTAGGAGACTCGGGTCAATGATGTCATATCTATTTTCATTGCCAACAACACTGGGCTCAGCACATTCCAAGGTATTTCACAATCACCATGTCACTGTCTGAGACATACCATTATGCCACAGGGAGAGACAGGATGTATGTATCTCAACTTCTGCTGACAACACAATCCAGTGACTGTATCAGCAGTCCTAAAAATAAACATGTGCAATGGGTTGTTGCAAAGTATCCAAACATGTGCGCTTTTATTTCACACAGCCAGGGCTCTGTACTTTTCACTTACAATTTATGTCACATAACTAACAAATATTTATACTATCAACTATATTATCATTCTTAGATAAGCAACCATTCTTTTGCATGTTTTAAGTTCATTCATCTGAGTATTTGTCTGTTCCTTACTAAAGTTAAGACCCCCCACCCTCATTCTGCTGGTATTCAAAATCATTTTAAATGTAAAGGAGATGCCACTGTTTACAGCCTCAACAATAATAATTCCTTCATAAAAGCCACAAAACCCCTGTGAAGTTTCTTTGTTGATTTCATAATGCGTTTGCTTCCAGCTTTCCTGGACATGTTATTATATTACCAATGAAAAGACTAGAAAATTGTATCACAATGTATGAACAGTCACAGAACATAGCAGTGACTAGTGGTGAGTTTAAAGACATACAATGTGTGGAAACAGACACAACAAACATGCAACTTGCCCAGGAAAGTGGGCAGGGAACTCGTTAAGAAAACAGCAATGTCGCAAAGAAACATCATTGGGATTTAGTGGGTGTCATGAACAAATTAATATGGAAGCTGCTCACATTTCAATCAGTGTTGTGTTCTAAGAGATGGTGTTTATACCAGGATAAGTACAGCAGATGAAAATAAATACTTTAATGAATAGGCTAAATATTTCCTGCAGTTGCAACTCTAAATGAAGGAAATTGTTCCATCATACATTACACTAGTACAACTACTTTATTTTTATTT